TAAATATATTTAATTCTATCTACAGATAGAGTCAAAATTCTATCAACCTTCTTGCAGAAATGGAAAACTAATTCTCAAATTCACATGGAATTGCAAGGGCCTCAAATAGCCAAAACAATACTGTTCTTAAAGATTTTATTTATTTACTTGAGAGAGAGAAAGAGAGAGAGAGAGAAAGTGAACACATGCAGGGGGAGCAGCAGAGGGAGAGGGAGAAGCAGGCTCTCAACTGATCAGGAAGCCTGACGCAGGACTCGATCCCAAGACCCTGGGATCATGACCTGAGTTGAAGGCAAACCCTTAACTGACTGAGCCACCCAGGCACCCCTAGCCAAAACAATACTGAAAAAGAAGAACAAAATTGGAAAACTCACATTTCCTAATTTGAAAACATATTACAAACTACTGTAATCAAAACAGTGTAGTACTGGCTAGGGACAGATATACAGACTAAAAGCATAGTATCAAGAGCCCAGAAATAAACCCATACATCTATGGTTAAATGATTTTTGACAGGAGTACCAAGACCATTCAAAAGGGCTAGAACAGTCTCTTCAACAAATAGTGCTGGGTAACTGGACAACCTTGTGCAACAGAATGAAGTTGGGTTGCACACCTCACACATACACAAAAGTTTACTCAAAATGAAACAAATGTAAATGTAAGAGACAAACCTGTACAAGTTTTAGAAGAAAGCTTAGGGGTAAATCTCCATGATCTCGGTTTTGGCATTAGATTCTTAGACCTAACACCAAAAGTACAAGCAAGAAAAGAAAAAAGTAAATTGGACTTCATCAACATTAAAAACTTTACGCATCACAGGAAGTAAAAAGACAACCTATAGAATGGGAGACAGTATTTGCAAATCGTATTTCTGGGAAAGGCTTACAGAATATATAAAAAACTCTTACAACTCAACAATAAACAAACAAACAAAAAAATTAAATTGAACAGAGATTTGTTCGAAGACATGATGGAATAGACATTTCTCCAAAGACAGATAAATGGCCAATATGCACATGACAAGTTGCTCAACATCATCAGTCACTACAAAAATCCAAATCAAAACCACAATGAGATACCATGTCACACTTGGTAGGATGGCTATGAAAATAATAAACAAGTGTTGGCAAGGACATGGAGAAACTGAAACTCTTATACATTGTTGGTGGGAATGTAAAATGGCTTAGTCACTGTGGAAAACAGTTTGGTGGTTCCTCAAAGAGTTAAATATAAAATTAACATGACTTAGCAATTCCACTTATAGGCACACATCCAAAAGAAATGAAAATATATACTCAAAACTTATACACAAGTATTTATAGCAGGACTATTAGTGATAGCCAGAAGGTGGAAACAAATGTCTCTAAGCAAGTGAATTGTGGTATACCCATGAAACAAAATATTATGTAGTCATAAAAAGGAATGAAATACTAATATGTGCAACATCATGAACCTTGAAAACATTATGCCAAACACAAAAGGCCCCATTATTTTATGACTCTATTTATATGAAATAGCTTGATCAGATAAAACCAGAGACAAAAAGCAGTTAGTGGTTGCCAAGGGCTAGGATTAGGGGGAAATGGGGAGTTGCTTACTGGGTTTGTTTTGCAGGACTGAAAAGTGCTAAAGAATAGTTGCACAGCAACATGAATGTATTTAACATTATTGAACTGCACACTTAATAATGATTAAGATGGCAAATTTTATGCTATATTTTTTAAAGATATTATTTATTTGAGAGAGAGAGAGAGAGACAGCAAGAGCTGGGGGGGAGGGGCGGAGGGAAAGGGAGAAGCAGATGTCCAGCTGAGCAGGAAACCTGAGAGGGGCTCAATCCCAGAACCCTGGGATCAGGACCTAAGCTAAAGGCAGACATTTAACTGGCTGAGTCACCTAGGCACCCTGCTACGTTTTTTAATCACAGCAAAAATTCCTATCCATGAATTGCAGAGGTCAGTATAATTCTTCATCTTGCACATGGAGAACTGAGGCCCAGACATGGGGAGCTAGTTGACCCAAATCACAGCTAGGCAGAAACAGAGCTAGGAGTAGAACTTACCATTCGTACTCTGTCTAGTGCTTTCTACTATACCCTCCTGCTCCCTTAGCTCTGAGGCTCGGAAACAGAAACAATGATGGGGAAAGAGAACTTTAAGCTTATAAAGAAAAATGCCAGGAACTTAGATGGTGTGCAATTAAAAGGCCAAAGATTTATCTGATCTGAAGAGAAACCAGAGTATTGATGGTGTGCAATTAAAGAGTAAATACACCGCATGGGAAGGAAAATGGAGAATAACTACTTAATGAGTACAGTGTTCCTTTGAGGTGATGAAAATGTTTAAGAACTTGATAAATCATGTAGTGGTTATACAACACTGTATAGACAAAATATCCATACCTGAATTGTACTTTAAAATTTTTAATTTTATGTTGTGAATTTCATCTCAATTAAAAAAAATCTAGCTTTATTTCTATTTCCTGAATCAAATTTTCTAACCCATATTAATTTTCAGGTATGGGTGTCAATATAAGTATTAATAAATATGCAGAACAAAGGTAGAAACCTAAAAAGTCCGAAAAGCATGAAAGTTGGAACCAACTCCCATCCCTTTTGCCCCTTTTGCTTCTCTAAATGCTACCAATATTCCTAATTATTCTGTATTCTTCTAGTATGAATATGGATTTGGTTCTCTGTTATAGTCAACTTTATTAAGCACTGTGAAAGAAAACAACTTAATGTCCTGCTATTCATTTGAACTGCTAACAAAGTATTAACAAGAAGCAGCTTATAGGACTTGCCTTCATGGCTGTATGAAAGTCATATATAACTATATGAAAATATGGGTTTGTTTTAAATCTACATGCTTGGGTGGGGGGTGCGCCCCGGTGGCTCAGTTGGTTAAGCATCTGCCTTCAGCTCAGATCATGACCCTGGGGTCCTGGGATTGAGTCCCACATCGGGCTCCCTGCTCAGCAGGGGAGCCTGCTTCTCTGCCTAGTGCTCCCCCTGCTTGTGTGCTCTGTCAAATAAATTCTAAAAATCTTCGTTTTTAAAAGTAAATCTATTTGCTGAGAACTAAATACACATCCTCAAGTCCTTCCTTATTCTCTTGATTCTTCTAGAATGATAATTAAATCTAATGTCTTCTCACTCCATGTCTCATGTTGTTTTTGCTTTCTGATATTCACATTTATCCTTTTTAGTTCAATTTAGTCTGCTGTTTAACCTAATCAATGAAGTTTTAATTTTAAGGATTTTTTTTAAGGATTTATTCTTATTTCTAAAAGTTCTTTGGATCTTTTATTACTACATCTGAACTTTTTTTTTTTTTTTTTTTTTTAAGTAATGCCTACACCCAGCATGGGGCTAGAACTCATGATCCCGAGATCAAGAGTTGTGTGTTCTACCAACTGAGGGTCAATTCCACAGAGGCTTAGCCTACTATGTTAACCCAAAGTCTCTCAATAAACTTTTTAAAACAAATAAAAACAAATTTAAAACAAATGTCAGAGGGTACTCATAGGGTATGCCCCAACAGATTATTGACAGCCCACTAAAGTACCTAAACTGGTGAAAAGAATCTCAAGGTACAGATATACACATAACTAATAACCACAATTTTAATTCATTCAAATAGTTTTTAAATTTCAGGCATAGTGCTAGAGAGCACAATCTAATGGAAGAAAGAGATATATTAACAAGCAGCTTGGATGATGAGGATAAAGATGTTACCATAAATATTGGAGAAGCTGAGTGGGGAAACCAGAATTTGCAGGAGGGAAATAATCTGTTGGCTTTTCAATATGTTAATCTTGAGCATCCAAGAGCACATCCAAGTCATTACATCCAAAAGATACAAAACTGTTTCAAATATCTGGGATGAATTAGCTCAGTAGTATTAACTAAAGAAAGTGGTAAAGAATGAATACATACCAAAGATACAATTTTTAAAAGTCCAATTCCTCCACAATAAAAAATTTAAACCATATAATTTATAGTCCATTTGACCCTGGAACAACATCGGTTTGAACTGTGTGGATTTACTCACATGCAGACTTTTTATAGTATAGTACTGTAAATGTATTCTCTCATGATTTTATTTTCTCTAGCTTAATTATAAAAATATAGTATATAATACATATAATATACAAATAGATGTTAATTGACCATTTATGTTATCAGTAAGGCTTCTAGTCAACAGTAGGCTACTAAGCAATTAAGTCTGAGGGATTTAAAAGTTATACTTGGATTTTCAACTACATGGAGGGTCAACTGTCCCTAACTCTCACATTGTTCAGGGTTGACTGTAGTTTTCTCACTGTAGTTTCCTCTCTGAGTACATGTAATCTGAGAGACCTGGGATTCCAAAGGCAAACTCCCATTCCTAGTTTAAAACTCTTTTAGGGAAACGGAATACCTTGTTGGGAATTGTTCAAATGGAGAACAAGAAATTTCTGCATTTGACCTGCTTTCGTGAAAGAAATGATGAGTCTAGCTATTTCGGCTTTAATTTCTGATACTAAGGCAAATGGATTTATCTAGCAATAACTGTCACAGTATCATTTGAATCTGACATAATAATAGTTGCACAGATGCAGCAATAACTACTGTCCAATACAAGGTGATAAAGTAAATGGAGTAAATGGAGAAAGTAAATAAGCTTCAACCTCATTTAAACCACTAGAGGGCCACATTGTCACATGATTTCGTGATCCCTCAGCTGCTGCTCAATTTTAGAAGTGCAAATCAACATGATTTAAAATAACTAGGTTTATTCTGTAATAACTTATTTTAATATTACTATTAAATAATTATCAAATTATTTTATACACCAGAGGACTTAGTGGGCAAGAAAATGTCCTACCAAGAGTTGGAGGGATTGTTCCCTCCTTGGTACGCTCGGCCAGAAAAGCAGGACTGATAAAATACGACATGAGAAAATTCAAGTTCTTTCAAACTTCTTGGTCAACTTTTATAACATTGATAGACTTACGTTTTAAGTGTTCCAGATGTCATAAGTTCAGTCACCAAAACAATGCACTTCTTCCCTTTTACTGTGGACTCCCAGGAATCATAGAATCGAACAATATTGGGATGCTGAAGACCCTTTAACATTTCAGCCTCTTCTTTAAATCTCTGCCTCTCAGACTTTGTTAATTTTCGATCCTAAAATCATGAACCAAAACAGAATGTGGTTTAAAATAACAGAATACCAAGCCACACAGCCAAATTTAAATGCTGTTAAGAGTACACTTATCTTGATAAGAAATGTATAGAACTGCTGAATCATACTGCACAGTTGAAACTAATATAGCACTATATGCTAATTATACTTAAGTAAAAATAAAATAGTTTAAATAGGGAAAAAAAAACCCACCAAAAAATGAAATCTTGCCATTTGCAATGATGTGGAGAGAACGAAAGGGTATTATGCTAAGTGAAATAAGTCAGAAAAAGACGATTATCATATGATTTCACTGATATGTAGAATCTGAGAAACAAGACAGAGGATCATGGGGGAAGAGAGGAAAAAAGGAAATGGAACAAAACCAGAGAGGGAGACAAACCATGAGAGATTCTTAATCTCAGGAAACAACCTGAGGGTTGCTGGAATGGAAGAGAGTGGGAGGGATGCGGTGGCTGGGTGATGGACACTAGGGAGGGTATATGCTATATGGTACCTGCTGTGAATTGTGTAAGACTGATGAAATACAGACCTGTACCCCTGAAACAAATAATATATTATTTATTAATTTTTTTTAAATGGGGGAAAAACAAAGAAAAAAATCCACAAAAATAAGTTCAAATGCCAAACGTGTACTAAATTACAATGATCGATAATGTTTAAAACAGGAATGCTTTAACATTAAAGTTACTAATAACTAATAATTCTTCAGCCTTTCATGACTGTGAGAACAGGGTAAAGTATACTTAAGAAAACTGGATTATAATGTCGTGCTTGAAATTATTTCAATGTCTTTATGTTAACATGTGCCTCAAATACAGTATCATTTTGTGGCTACAGTTAACTTACCACTTCTAAAATATGATTTATTGCTATGCAATATATGTAATTTAATAACATGGAACAAGTATGAGATTTTGGAGGCAAAAAGATCTAAATGTAAATTCTAGTTCTGTCTTTGCTTTGATTAGAATTTTCTTTAAGAAAATATTAAATAATCTATTAGGTATGTTTTCATCACGTTTAATCACCTGGCACTTCATAGGTGATGTGATGTTTCTGAGATGAACTGGGGTAAAGCACTTAATTTGTTGATCTTCCCTTGACAAGGTCCCATATACACATACTCTGAATTATTCTGGATATTAAAATTCAAACTATCTCTGTCACACTAATATTCTGTCAAATCAAGCAATACATATTTTAACAAAAGATTCCAGGCATACAATAAAGTAATGTGTCCATCACACAGTTAAATAAACATAGACATAATTAAAAGCCCCCTAATGTGTAACAAGATTGTCCTTCCCATCACTACTCCTTACCCCTGAATAACTACTAGACTGAATTTGGACATACCACTTCCCATACAGGTTTTTATACTTTGTGTTAAAATGTTAAAATTTCATAAAATGTTACAGAGTATGTTTTCTTTATTTTTTTAAGATTTTTTTTTTTTTGACAGAGATTACAAGTAGGCAGAGAGGCAGGCAGAGAGAGAGAGAGAGAGATGAGGAAGCAGGCTCCCTGCTGAGCAGAGAGCCTGATGTGGAGCTCCATTCCAGGACCCTGGGATCATGACCTGAGCTGAAGGCAGAGGCTTTAACTCCACTGAGCCATCCAGGCTCCCCTAGAGTATGTTTTCTTTAAAAGGTTGTTTTTTTTACTCAGTATTGTCTGAGATCACCTGTGATGATATACCAGGCACTATAAGGTACCCACCATATTATTATAACTTGGCTTTGTTCATCATCACTGTTACACAGTTACCTGTTACCTAAATATATAATAATTTATATCATCTCCTATTGATTAATCTTTAGGCTAGTCCCCAATTTTTGCTACTATAATATTGTAGTGGTATTACAATATTAATCTCTTGGCTATACATTTAAATGTGTCTCTAGGAAACAGGTTCTTAACTTATTACAAAGCTAAAGTAATCAAAACAGTGTGGTACTGGCATGAGGACAGATATGTAGACCAAAGGAATAGCATTGGAAGTCTAGAAATAAGCCCATACATCAATTATGAATATATATATCTGAGAGTATTCAGTAATCCTATGATTTTTGTCACCAACAGCCCTAGATATTTTGATATCACATAACAGTGGTCATAGATTATCTCAAAATATCATTTACATTAATCATTACTTTGAAATTGACAATTAGATCTTTCAGTTGATCTGATTAGTACACTAACAATGCTCACTATAACACAACTTTAAAAATTTTTATAACTGGGGTGCCTGGATGGCTCAGTGGGTTAAGCCTCTGCCTTCGGCTCAGGTCGTGATCCCAGGGTCCTGGGATCGAGCCCCACATCGGGCTCCTTGCTCAGCAGGGAGCCTGCTTCCCTCTCTGTCTCTGCCTGCCTCTCTGGCCACTACTGATCTCTCTCTCTCTGTCAAATAAATAAATAAAATATTTTAAAAAAATTTTATAACTATTTTAGTATAATTAGTATCCTTATAATCCTATGTATTTTACTATACAGACTTAAAACACTATTCTAGCCTTCAAGAGACATGAGGCACAAAAAATACTAAACATCTATTAGGATCATGTCTAGAATTACTTAATCATAAGAAATAGACACCTCCAATATTCATTCATTCATTCCTTCTTTCTTTCTAAGATTTTACTTATTTGACAGAGAAAGAGAGATCACAAGTAGGAGGACTGGGAGAGGGAGAAGGAGGCTTCCTGCTCAGCAGGGAGCCCAATGCGGGGCTTGATCCCAGGACCCTGAGATCATGCCCTGAGCCAAAGGCAGATGCTTAAACAAATGAGCCACCGAGGCGCCCCACACCTTCCATTTTCATAGTTACCAACAAACTGCTTTTCAAGGGGACTGTACCAACATTAAGAGCATTGTATGAAGGTTTCCATTGCTAAACATGGTCACCAGTAATTGGTATTACCCGACATTAACTTTTATCAATGTGATGGGTGTAAACTCATATCCTGTTTTTTAATTTATATTTTTAGAGGCAAGAATGAGAAAAAGTTTTTATTTTCTTTGCAGACTACTTGAGTTTCTTCTTCTGTGAGATGCCTAATCATATCATTTGTTTTCCTTCTTTGTAGGAGTTCTCAATATATTCTGGATACAAATCTTTTATTAATTTTATGTTACAAATGTCTTCTCAATTTGTGGTTCGTAATTTCACTTTGCTTACGATGTCTTCTGATTTTGATGTTTTTATTTCATTGCAGTTCAATTAATCTTCTACTTTATGGTAGGTAGGTGGGCTTTATCTCTTCAGTAATTCTTCCAGATACTGAGGACATACCTTTTCCTTTCCTTTTTAAAATATGTATTTTTTGTTTGCCACACTTGGGAATTTATTACTGAGGAATTTATTTGGTTGGATAAAAGGAGGATTGGCTGTTTTGTTTTTCTTTATCAACCAATAACTTAATGCCATTTGATGAACAATCCATCCTTTCCATATAAGTGTAATTTTATTTCTGGATTCTATATTCTATTCCAATGGTCTGTCTATTCTGCACTAATACCAGATTCTTAGTTGCTATAGCTTTAAAATAATTCATTCTTGGTAGAACCACTTCCTATAACCCTTCCTCAACTTTATTTTCTAAATTATCTTGGTTATTTTTTTCTAGTAAGAAGACTTTCATTTCTATAATGTAGAAATTACAGCATAAGCCAACTAAAACTATCAGAATATTATCAAGAATTTTAACTAAAGGCATATAATTTATAATGCTATAGAGACTATATAGATGATCTGTTCAACATTTTTTCCCAAGCAGTATAAATTAATTTAAAAAAATTATTGTAAATTTACATGCCACTAAAAAAAAAAATCACTATTCTCATCATCCCCTCCCCATCTTATACATTATTTTTCCTACTACTTTAGCTCCCTCTTGTCCTGTTACTCCTTAAGATAACATTGTAATTGTTATTTAACAGTATTTGCTTACTTATATATACCCACATATCTTTTTGTTCACTCTTCTATTTTGCTCCTTATTCTCTTTATCTGGGTTCATTTTTCTTTTTCTGTAAAATGTTTTTCAGAATTTTTTTTTTTTAATTTTTATTTATTTATTTGACAGAGAAATCACAAGTAGGCAGAGAGGCAGACAGAGAGAGAAGGGGAAGCAGGCTTGCCGCTGAGCAGAGAGCCCGATGCGGGGCTCGATCCCAGGATCCTGGAATCATGACCGGAGCCGAAGGCAGAGGCTTTAACCCACTGAGCCACCCAGGCGCCCCTGTTTTTCAGAATTATTTTAGTAAACGTTCCATTAGTGGTATAATCCTAGGTTGTGTGAGATGTTTACTTCATCATCACTCTTGAGTGATAGTTTAGATAGATGTGGAAATCCAGGCTGGCTTATTTTTCTTTCAGCATTTTCAAGATACTGTTTTGTGGTGTTCTGGTGTCTACTACAGCTGTCAGTATAAATGTCCTCCTTTGTAAATTTATCTGAATTTTCTCTAGTTGTTCTAAAGACTGTTTTTTTTTTAAATCGTGCTCTGCACTTTCAGTACCATGCACCTAGTTTTATGTATTTATAATGGGGCTGATTGTGTTTCTAAGCCAAAAGTTTCCAGTATTTGTCTTCAAGTCAAGAGAATTCTCATTATCTCTTGGATTATTGCCTCCTCCTATTTCCCTTTCTCTTCTTTGTAGATTTATTTGTGTTATGTATGAGGGTGTGTGTACGTGTGTGTGTGTGTGTGCAGACAACATCGCTCTATCCCTCATATCTTATCTCTCATTTTCCATTTCTTATACCTCCTGGGCAATGTTCTCAGATCTATCTTCTTGTTCACTAAGTGTCTCTTGAGTCATTATATCTAAACTGCTTATTATATCTTTTAAATTTTTTTAAATTAATCAAACTTTAAACTCCAAAGGAAGAAGGGATGCAAAAGACAAGTGGCCAAGGCTCAGTCCCTGTTCCAGAAATAAGAGATGAATGAACACAAACCAGAGGAACACTTCCAACTGACCATACAAGT